TGGGCATTATTGATAATGGGTTTAGATTATAATATATAGATGTATTATTCTGTATATGTATATGTTACAGGTTTTTTTGACAATGGAATGCATATAATATAGAAATTAATGAAAAATATTCAATTTGTGAATTTTGAAAAAAATTAATAAATAGAGCTTTTGGCGACTTAACATTTAGTAGTCAAAATAAAAAAGGAACTTGTTGGCGACTAAACAGTTAGTAGTCCACAAAAATGAAAGTTTTTGATGACTAAAAAATTAGTAGCTAAAAAGGAATACCATGATTTTATGGATTAAAAAATTGGTAGTTAAAAAGGAGTGTCATGTTTTTAGTGACTAAATAATTGGTAGCCAAAAAGAAACCAACGATTTTTGACGACTAAACATTTAGACCTTGTTTGGGAAGTTAGCTATTTTAGTTAGTTTTTTAATTATTTTAACCTGATTAAAAAAAATTATATTTGGGACGATAGTTGAATTTTTTTGTAATTAATTTGATGATTGTAAGAGAAAAAATAAAATAATTATGAGTTGAATGTGACATTTTGTCTTATTGATTATTTTAATCTATTTTATCTTTATTGGTTATTTTAGTCCAAATAGTCATTCCCAAACAAAGCCTTAGTCACTAAAAGGAAAAAAAACACATTTATTGAAACTGTGGACAACTAAATTTTTAGTCTCCATTTGGCGATGACTAAAAAAAATTTAATCGCTAATATCTTTTCTGACAATCATCCAGCGACAAATTGGTGATCAAAAAATTTAGTCGGTAAAATGTTTTGGTGATTAAAAATTTAGTCGTCAAAAGTGTAATTTGTTGTAGTCTGATACCAAGATTGAGGGTTTCAAAATGTCTTACAAGTGAAAATTAAAATTTATAAAATTATACTAAACTTAACTACTTAACTATAAAATTATACCAAAATTTAGGGCCATTTTATAATTTATGAAACTTGAAGTTAGTAGGAAGATAAGTGGAATTGTATGGCAAGTGGAATGGTGAGGTGGAATGCCACCTAAATGGTGGTCTTTTTAAGGATGAAGAAATGGTGACCTCAAACTTTATCTATTTGTATTATTAATTCCACTCATTGTAGGTTCGCATATGTCGCTATTCATTTAAAAAAAACGAAAAAACAAAAAGTTAAGTTAAATTGATAATTAAAATCACATGATTTTCACTAATTTGTCGATTGATATCCACGAAGCCCTTAATTTTGCTTCACTAGGGTTAGGACATTTGGCTCTTATCAGAACTAATGAAAACAAATCGTAGAAGACGATATTGAAATCCCATTTTGTTGTTAAGCTCGTCTAATAGTGACTTTACACTTTTAAAATTGAATAATCAATTCGTTATATTTGTTTTTCAGTTCCTCAAAATCATATTTATTATTCATTTTAATAATGATTAATTAGAAGAAAAGCCTACCATGTGCACCGAGTGTATCGGGTATGCACCTCAAAATAACGGGAAATTATTTAATATTTTTAAAGTATCACGTGTTTGTATTTTTTAATCAATCATCATTCAATATGTCTTTTCATGTTTCTCAATCACCTCACACAATATCTACTAACCTTTTCCATCAATCATACTATTATGAAATATTACGTGTCTATACTCTGCGATTACTGAATATCCCAAAATAACACCACAAAATTTCTTAGCATAAATTATAAAATAGCATAATTTTTCTCAATAATTATATATATATATATATATATATATAACTTTTCATTTATCAAAAACAAAAACAAAACTTTTACGACAAAATATTATAATTTTGAAATCCATAACTTTAGAGTACACACTATAACTTTGTCATTCATAACATTGACTAGGGCAGCCAACCTTCAACGAGGCCTAAAGCAAATCTCAATTAGTGAGTTTTCTTATTTTTTTTAAATTCTTTTATATTTAAATGTTTTACAATTTATAAATTTTGGGAATTATTTAAAGCCTTTATGAGGGTTATGAAATGAAAAGAATTGAAAAGTGCAAACTATCAAATAAATATAATTTATAAATTCAAAGTGAAGATCATGTCAAGAAAAAAAAATGTGAAACTTGAAAATAAACTTGTATAATACATTCTAAATTGCTTAGAGGCTTTTTTCAAAGTAACTCTTTTTAAATTAATAGATTGGATAATTTCAAAATTTGTTTAAATGTGAACCTTTCAAAAACAAAAATAGTGAGTACTTTATGCAAACATATAACAAACGGGTAGAGGGCTTTTTTTTTTCTCTTTTTTTTTTTGGCAATATGTATAACATGTATTATATACATGGGTTGAGGTCTTTTTATTATAATGTTTCAAAATAAACCTTTTAAAAATATACATATAATTGTAATTTCTTCAAATTTGGAGGCCTTCTTCACAAATTGGGCCTAAAGCCCGTGCTTTAGTGGCTTAGCGATTAAGCCGGGCATGACATTGACCACAAAATTGCACAACACACACGTCACAAATATTCATAATTTTTATCATAAAAAATCATAATTTTTTCATTATATGTATTTTTTTAAGGAGGCACATAGCAACATTTACTTAGTTGTAGATACTATGTTCATTGAATCGATTTTTTTCTTGTATAATTTAAGAGAAACTATCATTCAATGGGAGATGAAGGAGGTCTGCAACTAAGAACAGAATAAGGATTTCATTATCAGAGAAGTCAAAAGAAAATTAATTTTTTTCACCATATACACAAAATACACATGTGTATATATATATATGATATATAAATTATATATACATTAAAAAAATTTTAAATACCATAAAAATAATTTCTAATAGGATGAATAAGTTTTTTTTTTTTTTTGATATAAAATAAAAAGAGAATTCAAGATGGAAGAAGAATGATATATATTTTTTATATTGGGGGGTCATTTTATATAATATATATATATATATATAATTGGGTAAATTACATTTACCACCCTGAGGTTTCTGACAAATACAGGGACCTCCCTTGTGGTTTGAATAATTACAATAACCCTTTCTACTTTACCTGACAATGTCGAGATTCCTCCATTCAGTCTATTTTGCACAAACGACGTTAGTATCCAATAGAAAATGACCATGCTACCCTTGCTTTTGGTTGCGAAAAGACAAAAAAGCCCTTTGTTCACAAAATCCCTAATCAAGCTACATTCACAATACAAATCGAATTCTTCAGAGAAAAAAGAGAGAGAGGGAGACGACAGTAAGAACGTGAAGCAAGGTTAATTTGTGTGAAGAAGACGAAGAAGCTATTCGATTTTGGACCGATCGTCGTTGCCAGTGCACAATGTAAATAAGTTTCATCGGTGAGAAATTGTTGTTACGGCTTCCAGGTAAGATTTCGAACTCTGTAAGCTTCAAATATGATTAATTTGAGTTGATGATTTTCGATTTTTTTTTTCCATCTTTTTTCTTACAAATTTGTTTCTATTCTGTGTTTGATTTGATGAAATGTATGTGAAAAGGGTTTTCTTCGAAAATATATATTTAGGGCCTGTTTGGTAACGTTACGTTTTCAGTTTATATTTATAAAAATTTTATAAATTGGTTTTTGTTTATTTTTAGAAAAACAGAAACTACAAACGCGTTTGGTTTAAACAAAATGTTTAAAAAATTTTAAAAATATAAAAAAGAGTAAGAAATGGCAAGCGGTGGCGGGTGGTGGGTGGAGACGAGTGATGGCGGCGGAAGACGGTAGTAGAAAATGATGGCGGGTGATGGTGGCGGAAGACAGTGGTTGAAAATGGTGGCAGGTGGTGGGTGATGGTGGTAGAAGATGGTGGTAGAAAGTGGTGGCAAGTGGCGGGTGGTGGCGACAGAAGACGGTAGTGGAAAGCGGTGACGGGTGGGTGGATGGTGGTGGCAGGTGGGTGGTGGATGGCGGGTAGGTGGTGGTGGCGGTGGCGGGTGGTGGTGGCAAGTGGGTGGCAGATGACAGGTGGTGGCGGGTAGATGGCGCAGGTAGGTGGTGAGTGGTGGTGGCTGGCAGGTGGGTGGTGAGTGGTGGTGGCAAGTAGGTGGCGGGTGGTGGTGGCGGGCGATGAAGGGTAGTGGCGGGTGAATGGCAGGGGGGTGGGGGGCGGTGGTGGTGGGGGTGGCAAGGGTTGGGTGGTGGTGACGAATGGGTGGCAGGTGGTTGGTGGGTGGCTGGTGGCAAGTGGTAGGTGGTGGTGGCAAGTGGGTGGTAAGTGGTGGCGGCAAGTGGTGGTGGGAGATGGGCGGTGGGTGGTGGTGGCGGAAAACGGTGGTGGAAAATGGTGGTGGGTGGTGGCTAATGTTGGGTGGTAAAAAAAAAAATTGAAAACTCAAAACTCAAAACGTAAACTCATTTTTTGTGTTTTTATTTTTTGACAAAATTTATAAACTGAGACCATTGATTTATAAATCAAAAATTTACCAAACAAGTTTTTATTTGAGTTTTTAAAATTTTTGTAAATATAAATAGAAAACTGAAAACGTAGTGTTACCAAATGGCACCTTACTGTTTATATTTTATTTGCAAAATTTCTGACTGAAAAAAAGGAATTTGTTGAATATTACTATAATAATAGTGTAATGTAGGGATTTAATATAAATTTATGATTTTTTAGATTTTATTTATGAGATGTATGTTTACATGTTGAGGGATTTTTGGATTTTATTTATTTGAAGCATACATGTTTAGGGCTTTTATTTGATTTGCAAAATTTCTGATTGGAAAAAAGGAATTTGTTGAAAATTTATGAATTACTGATTTTCTGGGTGTTATTCATGACATGTATGTTTAGGATGAATTTCTAATTTTTTGGGTTTTACTTATGATTGTTTAATATTAGTATAATTATAGTGTAATTTGGGGATTTCTTCATGTTTTCATATTTTCTTCAGTTAATTGTATGGGCTTGCTTATTTTATTAGGGCTTTTCTTCATTTTTTGTTCTTTCCTTAAGTTAATTGTTGAGTATAGTACATGTTAGGAATTAATTGGTACGTCATTATGATCACGGTATGGTTGCATTTCCTTATTTTGATTTAATCATCAACTACAAAGGGAAAATGAGAAGAGTGTATGATGTGGACTCAAATATGTATTGTTACATTGATGCCTTGAAGGATGTAATTGCAACAGTCCTCTCTTACATTTCTTGTAGCGAAGCAGTAGCAATCACATTGCATTGTGATATGCCTGGTACTGACACAAGGAGATTAATAGAAAATGATTTTGATGTGCTAGACATGTTTTATGTACAAGGTAAGAGTAAAACAATTAACTTGTATGTAGACATAGAATATTCTATTGGAATGAGTGATGGTGGACATAAAAGTGATGTTGGAAATAAAAATGGTGGAGGTGGAAATCATGGAGTAGATGTTGTAGATGTAGAGCAAGACTACATTACTTTAGATGTAGATGTAAGAGTACCATGAGGACAATGTTTGTGGGTTTAGTGATGAGGATAGGGATTGGAATGCAACTGTTGAGGATCAAAACCAATCAGATGGCAATGAGATTTTGAGTGATGATGATAATAAGTGCTCAAGTGAAGATGATGATGCTGAATTTAGTGATTACCAATCTGGTGATGATGAAGTGGCTTATTCTACTACTGATGATGATTATGATGATGGAGCAGATTGTCTAGATGATGAAGATATGAGGTTTCCAGGCATGAAGTATGATGGTACTTACAATGGGAAAGAGCCATATATGAATCAAGATGGAGAAGTTGTATTGGAAGAAGGGATGATTTTTCCAGAAGTGAATACTTTCAGGGCTACATTGAGGGACTATACAGTGCAAACTGGTTTCAAGATAGTAAGAGACAAAAATGAGAAGTCTAGAGTAACAACCCATTGTGCTGCTGAGGGCTGCTCTTGGAGAATTCATGTATCTCCACTTCCAGATGGGATCACCTATAAGATTAAAACCTTAGTACCTACTCACACATGTAGCAGGATGAACACAAACACTGAAGCTACATCAGCTTGGATTGCTAAAAAAATGGTTGAAAGTTTTAAGGACAATCCACATATGGGCTTAGATACTATCCAAGTGAAACTAAATAAAATTTTTGGGATTGAGGCTTCAAGAATGCAACTGTATAGAGCTAGAAGGAGGTGCAAGAAGGAGCTGGAGGGTGATCATGGAAGCCAATATGTGTTGTTGCCAACATATGCTGAGGAAATCAACAAAACAAACCCTGTTAGCTTGGTGGTAATAAATTATGACCTAGACTTACCCTCTACCCCAGTCTCAGAAAATGGAGAAGAACCAAACCCTACCATTTATCAGTATCCATTGTTCCAAAAATTTTTCATATCATTTGATGCAATGAAAGCAGGGTTCATTAATGGATGCAGGCCATTCATAGGGGTAGATGGTTGTCACTTGAAGGGTCCCAATGGTGGTGTTTTAATTTCAGCAGTTGCCTTGGATGGAAATAATGGCTTGTTTCCATTGGCATTGGCAATAGTAGAGGGTGAATGCAAGGACAATTGGTTTTTTTTCTTGCACAACTTGAGAACAATCATAGAAAGACCATGGACCATCATGTCTAATCAACAAAAGGTACTTTACTAACATATTCAACAACTACTTTACTTACATAATTATGCTCGATTCTCTAATTTTAAACTTGTAATGGTTACTAATGTTTTATTGTTTTTATATACAGGGCCTTGACAAGATTGTGAGTGACATTATACCAGAGGCAACTCATAGAAGATGTTGCATGCACTTACATAACAATTTCAAAGCCAAATTTCCTGGTTTAATTTTGAGGAAGCAATTTTGGAGGGCAGCAAGGGCTTACAATCAGATAGAGTATAATCAAGCTATGCAAGCCATTAAGAACCTGAACAATGATGATTTTCATTGGCTGCAAAAAGTTCCAATTGAAGGAAGGTCTAGGCATGCATTTGATGGTAGGATTAGAAGTGATCACATCACAAATAACATGACAAAGTCCTTCAACGATTGGTTGGAAAATTTGAGAAGTCATCCAATTTTAACCATGTTAGAGGGCATAAGGTGCAAGTTGATGGGTAAGTTTCAGATGAGGTACCAAAAGGCAATGCAATGGAAATCTAATGTCACATTGAATGTGAAGAAACAAGAGAGATAGGGAGAGAAAATCAAACACTGAGATTTATAGTGGTTCGGCACGCTAGGCCTACGTCCACTCCCCAAGGAACCTCCTTGAAAATTTCTTTACTATCAAAATGAATTAATACATCACCAAGTCTTCACCAAGCTTGTGGATTTTGCACAGAACTTACTCTTATCTATTAAGCCTTACTTAACAATAAATGTCTCACCCTTACAAAAATCTCTCACAAAAATAATGAATAAAAATAAGTGGTACTTAAACCCTCTTTTACAATAATTCAGTCACAAAGAGTAGATATGAATGTGTAAGAACAAAGGCTATACTTAGATTTGAAAGTGAAACAGCAGAATACAATATACTCAAAATTTTGGAGCACACATAAATTTTTCTCTTCAAGTTCTTAATTTTTCTCCACACATAACACTTTTATTTATACACAAAAATATACTCGTTGGAAGTAGGACGCTCCTTTCTGACGTCATGGATTACATGGGCATGTTCATTGATTCAAATAGTCAGCAAATGATAATTTTCTTTTCCCTTTTTGTTTTGTCAAATATGGAGCCACCGTTTGAAGGCAAATTGAATAATATAATACAATTATCGCATCTTTGAATTCAAATAAGCAAATGATTTTGCTCCATTATTATGGGTTTCTTGAAGTCAAAAGCCACATGAAAATTGTGTCTATTTTGTAACATTTTCTTTTTTTCTTTTTGCAAGCAAATTCAAACCAATTTACAATTTTTTTTTTTTTCATTCTGCAGGCAAAACATCTTCAAAGATTTGTTTACAATAAAAAATTAAATAAGTCTTCTCCTGCAATCATTATAGTATATCAATTTCAAGATTTTGACTATATATATATATATATATTACTGATGCACCACACAAGTTCAAACTTGAAGACTTTTTCTTTTTATTATATCAATATATCTATACGTAAAAAGTGCATCGCATGGCACCGTCCGCACCCCCATACTTATAATTAATATTGTGTGAGTAAATTTCCGTTCACACTGCCAACTTAGTATTCAGCTGGAGAGCACTGACAGAATAGATGTCACTTATTTGACATGCAACAGAAAGAGAAGATTCCGGTGGTGGTTCGTCCACCCGGGGGCACTCCGACGATCAGGTCAGTATATCTCTCAAAGATAATCAATAGTGCTAAACTCACTGTTCAAAATATAAATTGCGTACCTTAGACCCATCGGGGGTTCCTTTCTTTTATAGTTAACTCAATTCTAGTCCCCATAGAAGTCTACCTTCAATGGACTTCTGCTCAGTACTTATCTTGGACTCTCCAAGAGATAAAGATAAATTTCCTAAGAGCTTTATCTTTATCTAGGCTGAGTCCCCTCATCATTCTAGGACTCTTGTGCCTTTTTCGCTTATCTCGGATTCCGATATCTTCGGAGATAACCTCGGCCTTGCTGAGATAAACTGGGCATTATGACTAGGACACGTGGCACCTCGGCTGACACGTCAGCGTCACCTTGGCCACGTGTTGGTACTCAGAAAATATATCCCCACAACTGCCCCCCTAGGTTCTATTACCTCGGCATTGCATTCTGAGGTGATGGGACCTATATCGGTACTTCCTGCCAGTACATCGGCTTAGAGATTCCCAACCGACATGTCTCTTTAAAGATAAAAAATTTCAAGAGCTCCCTCATGTGTATGAGTTGTCAAGCATAATACATCAACCGTCTTAACCACGCGTTTTCTCCTTGTTGGATCGTACTCTATACGCGCTTGTAAGTCATCTCGCACCTGCGTGCGCCGTCTGACGCATACATCATTTTAGGCGCATTAATTGCTTTCTTTTTGCCGCCATTTCAAGTTTTAACAAAACCTCTTTCTCCTTCCGTCTCTTCACTTTACATCGTTTCTGAAGCTCTCTCTCTCTAGCTTTCTCAAATCCTCTATTGTTCAAACTTCCATAGCTCTGCAACTTGCTCCGTTTACCTCTTCCGGCGTAATTTTCACCAATCTTCCGCCTTTGCAACCATCGTTAGACTTCGGCAATCTCCATTCCGACTTCCCCCTTTCTGGCAAGCCACTGTTCCTCCTGGTTTTATTTCTTGTTGCTCTCTAAGAAGTTGTTGCTTCATTATTAATCGTCATTGCTGTTTTACTCAAGTATTTGATTTATGAGTCATGTATCTGAGTGTATTTACTTCACGACTTTGCTCTTTGCCCATGTCTTGAATACACGCATTGCTCAAAACTTTTTTGCACTTTTGCCACTATTCTTGACCTTATACCCTTTGTACTTACAATGTTCTTGATAGTCCATCTTTGTTCTTGATTCTGAAGTGCATTCTTGCTTTTCTGTTTTCCAAGTTCGTGCCTTCAATCTTCGTTTCCATAGATCTAGGTTTGGGATTTGTTTGTAGAACCCACAAATTCTTAGGAAAAATCGAAAAACGATCCCCACAATTTCTTACCCCACAAATTTTTAGGTTTTTGCCGAGGTCCCAATAACCCTTTTAAAACACCTTCTTTCTGAAATCCAGTTCCTCCTAGTTAGGCCGATATTATGGGTATGTGGAAACATAGAGTAGACACCCCGACCAAGTTAGATCACTTTAGGCGTGAGTTTGACATCCCTGCCGACGTCCATCTGAGGATGGTTGGGAAAGATGACTCCATTATGCCTACAACTGATTCTATGCCCTTTCCTGTGGTAGCTTTTATCGAGTGCGGACTTTGGCTCCCACTAAATATCCTTTTCCGTGAGATACTTCATTATTATAAGCTGAACCTGATACAACTTGCCATCAACTCCTACCGAGTCATCAATGGCATAATAGCCTTAGCCAAACAAGAAAACGCTAGGGTTACCTTATCTGATATCCAATACTGCTACACCATGTGTGGCTTCAAAAAAGATACGGGCTTCGTTTACTACCTTAAGCCGAGGTCCACGGAGTACAAAATTGTTGCCGACCTCCCTGACTCCAACAAGGGAGCTGGGGATGACTATTTCATTACCTGAAAAACTGGGAGTTCGCTCCAGACGAGGACCTTCATCTCTACCCTCTTCCTCGATCAGTTTTTGTAGAGGGCAATGGTAAGAGCCCTGTGTTCATACTAACTTGTTTTTAAAGTCTTCAATACTTTGTTTGTTTCTTATGTCTATTTTTTCTTGCAACTCTTCCAAAACCAGAAAAAGGCTTCCGCAAGTTTTTTTACCCCAGAAAGGGTCTAAAGAAGCTACTAGACCTACCAATCCACAATCATAGAGCTCCTCTGGTACTCAATTTCATTCCCACCTACAAATCAATACTCCCCGACGTTCCAAAAAAGGAAAAAAAATAGTTTATCTCCTCCTTCTGCCACAACTCCTCAAGTTGCCTCCACATCTCAGCTAGATCAAGGATCAACTTCTGATCCAGCAAAGCAGCCGTCAACCTCGGCTCCATATCTGATCCCGCCATCTCAATGCGCAACGTCGGTGATGAACAGTTTTTGCTGCTAAAATGGGCCGCCAAAAAGCAGTCGTTAAGGATCTTTTGGCCAATATTCCTGATTCAGTTGATGCCCAACCAGCGCCAACCCAGCCAAAGTCGAAGACAAAAAGGATAAAGAAGACTCAACCAAAGGCAACGGTGACTCAGATCGATTCTGAAGACACCTTGCTAATTTCAAAATTGGTTGAAGGTGAGAAGATCACCTTTGTCCCCGAGAGGAGGTCTGCTGAAACACAACCATCCGAATCCACCAGATCGAAAAGACCGAGGTCATCCTCTGCAACCAACTCGGGGTCCCTAAAACACGATGCCCCCTGGGCCCCCAAAATCGTACTGGAGAACAAGCCAGTTAGGGCTGGAGACAGCGTTGATGACATTAATGTTGGCGTTGCCCTTAGTACCGCTCTGCTTCTTCCCGACAATCTCAATCGAAACGCCGAGTTGAGAGAATATGAAAACTATGCTCTCATGCTCCAGCGCTCTGTGCAAGTAAGTGTCTTTATTTGGTAATTTCTCTTTCTTTCTCTTCATAATATTTTCTAATAACTCTTGTTCACTTTCAGGCCATCCAGCATGCTCATTCTTTCTTAGTGCAAGCCTTTGAGAATCGGCAGGAACTGGCCGACAATAAGAGGGAGGCTGCTAGTCTGCAAAAGACTAATAAAAACTTGCAATCAAAGATGAAGACTTTGAAGGATCAGGCCGAGGCTGCTATCAAAGCTCAAAATGATGCTGAAGAAAAGGCGAATTCTGCTGAGGCCATCAAGAAAGTTCTTGAGGCCGAAAAGAGAGAGGCCAAGGAAAAGACGGCCTAGGCCCAAAAAGAACTACAAGAAGCCTTGCCCACGAAGGACGCCGAACTCAAGGCAGTCGGTGAGAAGGGCTACAATGAGGAGGTGGCCGATGTCACGGCTGTCTATGAAAAGCAAGTGATGCAGGCATGCAACAAGGGTTTCACCCTTGGTTGGATGTCTCTTCTAGAAAAGCTTGAAGTCCCCGATGACTCACCCCTCAGGAACACCGACGTCATTCCTCTTCCATTCCCTCCAACTTCAACTCAATCCGTTGACGAATCTGAGTCTGAGGAGGAGACCTTAGTGAGGAAATCAAAGGAGGCTGCCGGGAACAAGTCTCCTTCTCTGAATGAGCAAGTCCTGGACTTGACTCAAGATGAAGAGGGTGAGGAAGTCCACAAGGATGCCACTCCTAAGAAGCCGTCATCGGACGTGCCTCTTGCCGATAAGAGCCTCGATCTAACCCTTCAAGAAATTGACGCTAAGCTTGCGGCTGAGAAGGCCGTCGAGATGTCTTCTCAGCAGTCCTCCGAGGTCCAAACCCAGCCTGCTAATTATGCTGAAGAGTCTTAATTTCATGTTTTTCTCTTTCTTCTGTGCTCTGTACTTTGTTTTCCTTTTGAAACAGTGTAAGCTCTTCATATTGCCGAAGTGCCTTCTTATAAATACAAGTTCTTTGTTTTGAACATTTGTATGTTTGCCTTCTTTTTACTACTCTTTTATGATTCTGTACTTAGAATAT